GTTCATTGATGTTTTTTTTTTAATAACTGTACATATTTTCGTGTTGCACGTGTAGCTTATAAAAAAATACATTTAAATATGTGCTGTTTGCCTTGACAGCGTGCATTCTCCTTACAAAAAAAAATGAAATTTAAGTTTAATCTTCATCTGTCGAGTTCAAGATTATTTGATGGTCATGCAACAGCGCATATTTGAATGTATTTNTTCAGAAGCGTGACCTTGACAACATATCGAATAATAAAAGAGATAAGTGTCCCCCAAATAGCTTTTTTTGTCCCCCAAATAGGATGAGTAGAGTGTAATATAGTAACTATACAGGGTGTCCCATAATTATGTTAACACCCGGAAAGGGGTGATTCCTCATGTCATTTGAAGTAACTTTTTCCTTAGCGCAAATGCAACCCGCGGCTTTGTTTACGAGTTATTAACAAAAAACCCTGACCAATGAGAAAAGAGCTCGGCTGGCACAAGGCGGCTGAGTCAACCAGCGGTCGAAGCCCACTTCCGTTCATTGGCTCGGCCGCCTCGCGCCAGCTGATCACACCTCTCATTTGGTCATTATTTTTCGTTAATAAATAAAACCTTGAATTGCATTTTCGCTAAAGAAAAAATTACTGCAAATAACCTCAGGAATAACCCCTTTCCTGGTGTTGACATAATTATGGAACACCCTGTATAATTTCAAATGGTAATAAGATATTAACAAACATGCTAATTTCATTGTTAAAACATAGAGAATGTCTCACCGAAGTGTCAACCCGAGAATATTTTGTTTAATTTTTACGGAAAAAACATTTATTATTTGAATCAAGTGATCAATATCTTGTAAGGGATATTTTGTAATCAGTTTTTTCATAGTTTTCAAGTTCATTGATGTTTTTTTTTTAATAACTGTACATATTTTCGTGTTGCACGTGTAGCTTATAAAAAAATACATTTAAATATGTGCTGTTTGCCTTGACAGCGTGCATTCTCCTTACAAAAAAAAATGAAATTTAAGTTTAATCTTCATCTGTCGAGTTCAAGATTATTTGATGGTCATGCAACAGCGCATATTTGAATGTATTTTTGTATGTGCTACATGATGCAGCACGAAAATACGTGTACTTATTTAAAAAAGAAAACATCGATAACCTTGAAAATTACAAGACAAAATATTTAAAGGAATTAGTATCATGCCAAAATTAAAGAATACATTCTAGAGGTCACAATTAAATTAGACGTCCTCTTGGAAAATTATGACTCTCCAATTTCATCAAATATAAAAGTCTGTTTCTATTAGATAGTAATATATGTTACGTGTATATTTTTTTTGCTTCAATAAATATTTTCCGTTATTCTACTATGTTAGAAATTTAAAAAATGTGAGAAAACGCAATTATTCAAATGCGATTCGAGCCTTGTTTCAGAAATAAGATGAACTTTACTGCATTATACAGAATATAATGTAGATTAACAATCGAATAGTGGATCATTTTTATAACTACAACATTGATGATGTTTATAACTCTTCTTAGCTTTTTTTGTTTATTATAGACTTTTCCGTTATTCCTAGTGTAATAACAATTTATTTAATTTATTGGTCGAAAATTGAGAAACTAGGTGACGATATCAATACTCCAAAAGTTTACATTATACAACAAAATTAATCTAGATTGACCAATTACAAAATGCACTGTAGTTATATTCATCGTTGCAATTTTGTAAAGTGCTAAAAGATGTACCAACAAACTATCTCTATTGTAGAGACACACAGTGTTTACGTTGCGCTGTAGATAAGCCTTCTTTACGCGCGCGCGGTCTTTCTTTCGTTTCCGCATTCAATTGAAAGAATATCATACCAGATCGCACACAGCGAAATGAAAACAATTTTCATATATTTATAAGATTATATTTTAAATCCTAATTAAATAGTAGATGTTTTACATTTTGTTCAGTTTATATAATGTTTAGTTTTATAGTATGTATTTAACATGCACTATTGTAATACGATTCAACTAACATCGTGTAAAGAAAATTAGTCGCATCATTATAATTATCATTATAATCAGACAGTTTAGGCAACAGATATTTATCCGGAGTATCAAATTAACAATCCTTATTATTATACCTAATCAAAATATATAACGCAAACATAGTTAGGAAATCAATATTTGTAAATATTTGAAGGAAAACTTTATTTCGAAAAAATTGTAAAGATATACAAAAATCTCACTTTCGATCCGGACTACATACTATGAACCGCTCGTGGGCAAGCAGTTGCAAAGGACTGATTTATGAGACTCGGCCGCTTAATCCGTCATCCCCACCATGATAAGTCATACCCACCAGGTCTGGCGCAATTTGATGAAAACTGGTAGGGAGGGAACTTTAAGAAGTAGTAAGTCCCACATGGCGTCCGAACTGAAAATTTTATTCAAATTGGTTGACGCATGGTCAAGCTACAGGCATTAAAAGATTTAAAAAATACCCGTTTCTTGGTGAAAAACTGCTATTTTCACGAACTTTAAATGTTAACAATTTATGATAACCGATTTTAATGACATTTTCAGAGTGCATATTAGTGATCGAAATATACAAAACGCTTTCTTAAATTGTCGTTGCAGGCTCAGATAAAAAAGTTACGAAGTATGAGCTTTTTTATTTTATTGTGTATACAATATAAGCAATTATTTAATTTTATTTCCTTGAGACTTGAGGAGACGCGAGGTGTCAGGAATTCTGCTCGGAATCTGTCCCTAGTGGTAGTGGGGAGACCTCCACAAATGGGAACGGATGATGCCAATGGATTCTAGTGGCAATCCATTGGGATCATCCAACCTTCCCACTCGCCAGTACACGCCGCCCTTCCCCCTCCATCACCATTCGATGGACATTCCAAACAGAATCCCTGAAACCAGTGGACGCGACGATGACGGCTATAAACAGTAATAATTTTTTTAATGGATCGAAGTAGGAAATGACTGTTGCACAATTATGTACGGCAAAGTATGCTGAAAATAAACCATGTTCTAAAAATCTGAATTTGTCGATCCGGTTCTCAGTGTATCCCATTGCTAAGGCACTATCCCCACTCCTTCTTAAAGTTCCCTCTCTACTAGGTTTCGCCAGATGGCGCTGGATCTAGCACCTTTCATCGCATTCCTGATCTCATCTCCCTACCTAATGCTAAAACTATAAACTTAAAGTTTCAACAATACTTGTTCCATGACTTGGGCCTATTCATACTTTGGATTATTCATAAATAGTAGGAGTGTATTTGATACCCGAAAAACTCGAATCGGGTCGGGAAAATTTTTGGATTCGGATCAGGTCCCGAAAATTCACAAAGTTCGGGTACCTGAAAGTGGTTTCATCTACCAAAAGTTCGCACTGTTCGGGCATACGAATTCTTACTCAAGTTGGACAGTTATCGTATATAGATATATGACGCTGAACTTGCTACCCCTACTACTGCGCTGAGATCGAACAACTCGCGCGAGGCTATGAGGGAAATACGTGCACTTACGTATACAGTATTTTCACCACAACTAACGCAATTTTACGTTTGCCAAGTTCCAGTTATGGTAGAGGTACATGCTTTGTAGTGTACCCAACGTTGGGAAGAAAATGATTGAAAAAGAAATGGAGCCGAGTGCTTCAAATATCAAAATTCCTTACTTTTCAGTTTACGTCAATGAAACTTTCATCATCGTATTAGTCTCGTTTTTCTGATTAGAATAACACCAAGCGCGATGAAATTACGACTATAACTACTTGTGTAAAGACTTGAAACTTGAAACTTGAAACTTTAATTACTTCTTATAGCGTCAATAGTGATTGGAACTCAAAGATCACTTCAAGTTCATGTAATGTACATATTGGAACGTATTTTTACATCAGCAACATCGATGACCTTGTAAACTTCGAAAAAAATCATTTTTGCGTCATCATGATTTCTTCGAACCATTCAAATAGCATACAAAATAATTTGTATATCCCCGAAATTAGAAAAGATATTTAGGTGGCCTTATTTAGGCGAAACATTCTGTATAAACGAGCCGCTAGGCTCAAATAATCGCGTCTTCCTTCCCAAATTGTCCATTTTTGTTTACAAGCTGAGAAATAATTGGAGAGAATTACTGTATATCGTGTTTCGTGTTATTTTAATCAGCAAAACGAAACGTAGCATGGTTAAAGATTCATAAAAAGGAATAAAAAATAAGACAATCTTTTGGTTCGCTTGTATTAGTGTGAGTCTCATTGACGCTAATGTATACATCGTTTCACTGATTCTAACGGGAATCCTCTCCCCCACCTAACAATGGGGATAAAATTGTGCCAATTACGATAGAGATCTTTTCGTCAGTTACGAAGAGAATACTGTAGTCAAAACGTATATTAGAGATGTATTCTCCCCACGGGCTCATGCGAGTCAATCGGTCCGAGCGCGGTAGTGGGGGTAACGAACGTACTCGAGGAGCACCAGTTGCTCAGGCCTGATCCAGTAGTCTCAAATAGCTAACAATAGCACGGATAAAGACTATTGGGAACTGAAAAGAATGGCTTTCATCGAGAAACTAAACGACGCGATGGGCAAGGGGAATCGGCCACCCGGCCCACCGAATCCTTTCCACTTTTCAGATTTAGGGTCATTATTGACTAAGCTACGCGCTGAACAGAAGACGTGATTAGATAGGACAGGCGACCGATTCCCCTTGCCCTTCCCGTTGCTTACGTGGCCAATAATGGCCAGAATTTAAAAAAGTAAAAGAGATTAGGTTGAGCGGGCCACCGATTTCCCTTGCCCCTCGCGTCGTTTAGTTTGCGAGCAGAGGCCATTCTTTTCAGTTCCCAACAGTAATAGTAGACAGAGCCGATGTCACGGGCTATCTCGTGAACACGCCCCTGATCGCCCGTACTTTGTAAGCAATTTCAACTAATAAACAGAAACGAAGAGAGAATCTGTCCGATGCCCGTCCATTCTACACGCATAATCGAATGTCCGCAATGTTTCACAGGTGATCAGCATAGTCTCAGTTCTCTTCATCTGCATCTCGATCGTCTCGTTCTGCCTGAAGACGCATCCGGACATGCGAGTGCCAGTAATCGTGAACCGGACGGTGACCAGTGGCAACACCACCTCCTGGGCAGTGGACAAAACGCACACGAACGCTCACGACTTCTTTTTCTACATCGAGTGTATGTGCAACGCCTGGTTTACTATCGAGTTCCTAATACGTATTACTGCGAGCCCGAACCGATTCATCTTCATCAAGAGCTGGGTGAACCTGATCGACTTGGTCGCGACGTTCAGCTTTTATCTCGATCTGACCCTGCAGCGGTTCGCCTCTCACCTGGAGAACGCGGACATCCTCGAGTTCTTGAGCATCATACGTATCATGAGATTGTTCAAGCTGACTCGTCACTCGTCTGGCCTGAAGATCTTGATACAGACATTCCGCGCCTCGGCTAAGGAGCTCACGCTCCTCGTCTTCTTCCTGGTCCTCGGAATCGTGATATTCGCCAGTCTAGTTTATTACGCCGAACGGATCCAGTACAACCCGAAGAACGACTTCAAGAGCATACCGCTGGGTCTGTGGTGGGCTCTGGTCACGATGACCACCGTCGGTTACGGGGACATGGTGCCGAAAACCTACCTCGGGATGTTCATTGGCGCGCTCTGCGCCCTGGCCGGTGTACTCACGATCGCCCTGCCGGTGCCCGTGATCGTCAGCAACTTTGCGATGTATTACAGCCACACGCAGGCGCGAGCCAAGCTACCAAAGAAGAGACGCCGCGTACTTCCGGTCGAGCAGCCAAGAGTCAGAACTCCGGGCGTGCCAGGCATGGTCGGAGGAGGAGGGACCGCCGGTCCATCTGGCTGCCTACAACCACATATGCCACCGGGTGGACCAGCCTTGGGTGCCGGTGCTCTATCTTCTGGCCTTGGCGCGACACCTGGAGTCGGCTGCACCGGAGGCCAGGGGCCACTGAACAGACGGATGAACGCCATCAAGACCAATCATCCCAAAGATGTTACGTTCGCCACGAAAGCTGGTAAGTTCTCTCAATGATCGTCGTTCATTTCCTTCTGTCCTAAACTCTTTCATAATCTACAGCTAAATCCGGTATATCGTGTCTCTGGGCTTTGTATAGGGTGTATAAAAATGATAAGTCACCGGTGCGTATAGGAAAATAAGTTACGCAAGGAGTGAGATAGATGACGCATGCGCCGGGAGTCCAGCACAGTGGCGTGCGGCGTTTATCGCGCGAACACTATAATTCTTAGTTTAATCGTAGTTCAGAATTATAATGTTTACCCGGTAGACGCGTCATGCCGCGAGACTCCCCCGCATGCGTCGCCTGCCTCCATTCCTTTCGTAACTTATTTTCCTGTGTACACTGGTCACGACTACCAAAGCGTGACCGCAAAATTTGACCTTGAAAAACAAAATCATTGCTTATTGCAACGTTTAGAACTCATTGAGAGGAACAGAAATCTGAAAGGAACCATGGGTCTCGAGTCAATTCTTTACGTAAGTAAAGTATTGAAAGTATAGGTTAAAAAGAAGAATAACATTTTTCATTTGAGGCTCCGTTTTCTAGAAAAATTAGGTTCAAAGAATAAGACTATTGAATAGGAATCAAATGATGCGTCTGACCATGACATACCAAATCTACTTTTGATCATATTACAAACCACGCGAACTTGATGCATCTTCCAACTCAGTTTTCGCGAAAACGAAGCCTTAAATGAAAAAATGTTACTCTTTTACCTGGGCTTATTTTTGCATGTAGAATCATTACCCGGCTGATTGTACCACGATTGTGGGTGTAACGGTCGTGACATATAATTTTTATGTTGTTTTTAACATCGTATTTTTAATGTAAAGGGTTGACTTTAGAACCATGATTGCTTTCAGACATTTGTTCCTTCCTGAGTGATATACGTTGCAAAACAAAAAATTTGACCCCCTAACCTTAATTCTAAGTTCAAGGACAATTTTGCGGTCCATTTTTTTAGTAGATTTTCATCGATTCAGAGGTTTAGAGTCACGCTACGGTGGTCGTGACATATAATTTTCACGCGCCATGTACATCAAAAGTTCGACCATTTTACTACTGGTAATTTCACATGTTTTGTTTCACTTAAATTAGGCCTAGACAACTTGTGCTCACAGATCATGCAACGCTCGAGCAATTACCCTCACTACCACGCTCGAATCGGTCGATTCGTACGATCAGTGAGGAGAATGCGAGCTTTAAGTGTAACGAGGATGTATTCCCCTCATGGGCTCGAGCAAAATTTACCGACCCAAGTGGGAGTAATGACTCTAAGATTCGCTTGCTACGCGAGCACTAATTGCCCAGGCTTGACTTAACGCCAAACCTACCTAGCAGTAATAATGACTGGAGTGCGTTGCCTCATAAAAATGAGACGATTGTAACGAATAATGTTCTCATGAATGTGCATCTAAAGTTTGTAGAATTGTTTCTTTGTTGAATTATGAAATAAGAAAACGGTTATTCTGACTGTGGTAGGTTTAGTGTTAAATGATGGTTTGAAGACTCTGTAGTTATAGTAGCGAAAGCATGAAATGAAAATGCCACTTACAATTAGATTTACAATTACAGAAACGAACTTTCACTCGTACGTGTAGTTAATTACGTGTGAAGAAACAACCTTTTCAAAGGAAAATTCCCTTCCTGAATGAGTAATTTTATATTTTCAACACACATTATTGTTAAAAATATAAATTCTCTACCTCGTAACAATCAGAATGAGTGTCACTCTACCAATTAAACAGTGTGTCCCATTTAAATCGACCCAATCAAATATCTTCGAAACCGTTGATAATATTAAAAAATATTTCAAACGAAAGTTGAATGGTTTTAGGGGGCAGGTAATCTGACATGAGCATTTTTCTAGCTGGACGCGTGTAAGTCATATGAAGGTCAACTTTTTCTTTAAGTGGAATCATATATTTTTGAATGCATTATTTGATACAGCTTATCATTCTCTTCACGAAAATACTATGGTAAAAAAAATCATTGGTTTAGAACATATTCTAATTTTAGTATCATATTTAGAGACCAAGCAAATCTTTGCAATCGAGCTGAAAGTTATATTTTTTAACACTAACTTTAGATACGTCACTGGTAGCACTGTGCATAATTGAAGAGAATGACGAGCTGAATCGACTAATATAATAAAAAATGTGTGATTCCATTTACACAAATTAAGTTGACCTTCACATGTCCTCCATGCGTCCATCTAGAAAAATCTTATCTATATCAGATTACGAACCCCCTAAAACCACTCAACATTCGTTTGAAACATTTGTTAGTATCAACGGTTTCGAAAATATTTGATTGGGTTCCAGTTAACACCTGTTACTCCTAGAGAGGGCTAATTCCTGACATGATTTGAAGTAACTTTTTCCTCAGCAAACATGTTCTTCGTGGATTCATTAACGAGTTATTAATAAAAAGCACGGACCAATCAGAGAGCGCGTATGACTTACGCCACGCTTTGGCGGTCAATGCCGCTGGAACGTGTCAGCCATACTCTCCTTCTGATTGGACCGTATTTTTCATTAATAACTCGTTAACGAAGCCACAAACAACATTTTCGCAAAAGAAAAAGTTATTTTAAATTACCTCAGAAGTCACCCCTTTCCGGGGTGTAACAAAAGTTCTGAATCTCTAGGTAGGTCGATAGGTGAACCAGAAATCGTATTACAACCAGCGATGGTGTATTTCTACGTAAAAAAGGAAGACGATATTTTGGTGTAATATTTTTTCATTTGGCGTCACATTTTTGAGAAAATCGACGGTAAAGTTTGTTCAATTAGTAAACGATTTAATGCAGTTTGCTTATCGTGTATTCAATTGCCGTGGCTATCTCTGTCCGAGACAGTGTTTGCAGTCTAACCCCTTAATTTAATGTAACATGATAATTGTACAAACCCGTGTTAGAGGAAACAAATAACTAGCCTACCAAACAGTGTTAAGTTCGAGTAATTGAAGAAATTACATTATTTTGTAAATAACAATGAGGGAGATATATTTACAAAAACCATCGATAGAATCTACCAAACGTAATATACAGAATTTTACAGAAAGGGACAATCAATGTTCGAGATATTAAAAGCAGATATCATAAAATATTAGTACGTCACATTTGTTAGTAAGACACCTAGGTGTAAGACACCCTTTATAGTACTTGTTTTTGAAAAATACTTTCCAGAGGATTTAATTATCAACAAACTTAGAAATTCTATATACAGTGGATGTAGAAAGTATTCGTACATCTTTTAAAACGGAATAACATTTTTATAATTGAGCCAAGCGATCTAATTTTGGGGGGAATTTTAGCGGGATTAGATTACTAGACAACGGCTAAAAAATTGTTTGCAAAAATTGCAATTGATTGGCATTGTAAAAGAACTAAAAAATGCTGTTTTTTTCAATTTTTTATGTGAGCCCATAACGAAAATTTAAAACATGCACTTTGTAAATCTCGGTAACTTAAATGCATGCTGAAACTTTCATCGAAATCCGTTGACCTCGATAGAAGCTGTAAGCAATTAAAGATCGCGAAAATCGCAATTTTTCCATTTGGAAAGGTGTACGAATACTTTCTACATCCACTGTACAAGAATTGATTGTGGATTACTTGGTATTAAAGTAAGCGTTTATTTCACAAGAAAGTGTTTTTTCAAGAGATAAAAGTGTATTTTCAATAAAATTTAATACTTGATAAAAAAAGACTCGGATAACAGATAGCTTATAATCTGTTTAATGTAATAGAATTTAACACAAAATTAAAATTAATTAAAAGAAATTTATGCAAATTCCCATTTTCATGACTCAAGGTAAGAGACATTTTCATTTAGCTAAATAAACAATTTCTTACTTGCGAAATTAATATGAAAACGCTATTAATTATAGTTCGTGCATTGATTTATTATTAATTTAATATCATTTTGCAAACATCTTGAGATCAGTTTTTTCAACTACAATTTTTAAAAAAGAATAACTTTTTATAAGTTGAACCAAATGGCTTGAATTTTTTAAGATATTAGGGAGACTAACATACCGCGCAATGTCTCGTAAATAACGTGTTACAGGCAATGAAAGATGTCAAAATCTTTAGATTGTTTATAGTTATTAGTCGAAAATCAGAGAAAACTGTGAGTTTCGTTCTATTTAATTGTTTTTGGCTTATAACAAGGTCAAACGATAAAATGTTCAGCATGCATATATGTATTATTGTAAGCTCGGATAAAAAAGTTATCTTTTGCAACGTTTCTATGTCTTCATTGTCATTTCAGCTACAGTAATTTCTATCATATTGTTACGAATTGCGACACCTCTCCCGCGTCGCGGCATTTTATTTACAATAGAGAACACACACAAACTATAATACAACTGAATTAAACTATGTTAGAGATCTTTGATTAAGATGGTGTTGATCGCTCGACGGTCCGATCCCGACTCCTCGATTGTCCGTTGATAAAACACCTCCGTGGCAACCCCTCTCTTCTATTTTTCTTTAAGGAGTTGCTCACAACAGGGCAGTTTCACATTACAGCGACTTGATTTGGACAAGTCGCCGTAACATTGCCCTCCTCGCCGAATGAGCGGCCGTCCCGGCCGCGGCAAATTTCACTTGTGTTGACCAACGACAATCGAACCGTTAATCCTGCCAGCTTCAGTCCTATAACCTCGAACTATCGTTCCAACGGACAACTGACAGGTAACCTCCACCGCAAGTACTTCTGTCTGAAAAGTAGGTAAACAAGGAAAGAATGTAATTAGTTACCCAGGTGGCCTTTTCCAGACAGTTTACGTCCTGACATTTGTCCTCCGTCTCAAGGGAAAACCACCAAAAAAACCTTGAGCAGAACGTCAGTACTTCTACGACGCGTACAGCTCTAATCTCTGTCGCTCACCCTTCCTCTTAATTTTTCGTTTTGAGGCTTGAGCGTTTCTTTCTTGAAGAAGTTTTGAGAACTTCTCACTTGTAGACTTCCCGGGAGTTCCCTGCTCTG